GGAACCTTAGTTAGAATTAGTATAGAAGAGTCGACTATGACTCCTATTATTAATGTTTCCTCCTTACTAGACACCTAACGTTATAATAACAGTAGGGTAATAGTTAAAAGGAAACTTAATCAATTTCTCTAAATCTTCTATACCGACTCTACTATCGAGTATTGACTCTATTATTGATCTCTCCTACTAGATAGCTAACGTTACGATAACAGTAGGGTAATAGTTAAAGGAAAGTTAGAAAAATTTCGATAATATAGTTAATAATAGTCGCCTTACTTAAGAACTAACGTTATAATAACGATAGGATAACGGTAAAAGGGAACTTAGTCGACTTCTTTAAATACTAGATAGCTAATGTTACTATAACAATAGGGTAACGGTTAAAGGGAACTTACTTTGTCGACTTCTCTAAACCTACTATCCCGATCCTACTACTATATTATTAGTACTAACATAGTATATAAATGTTAGAAACTTACCTTTATCGATATTTTACAAGACTACGCTACAAAATATAGTAGATTTGAAAACGAGTGCAGTGTTTTATTTTCGAGTGCATGCCAAGAACCGACGCGCGCGGCTTACCTCAGAACGAGTGCGCGTCAGCTGTACACGCAGACGCGCCTAAGTAAAGCAGGCAAGCGCGACGGAGGCGATGACGCGGATTCTTGTGCAGGGGCCATCTGGAAATGCAATAATTATGCCTTCACAAATCACAAATTCACAATACATACAATACATAATCGCCACATCATCCACCCGAACCTCAGATCATGAGTGAAGGCTACGACGACTGGGGGAATCCGACTTCGCGGCCTCGCCATGAAATGCCCCGTGAAAAAGGAGTTGTGGGCGCGCTGAAGTTCTATACCACTCGGACATTTCGCCAGTATCGGACCCTGCTCTCGACTATTCTGTTCACCATATGCCTCCTGTACTACTTCACTCTCCGCACTCCTGCGTCGCCACCTCCCAAGCCCGTGGACTGGTCTAAATTCGCATATGTCCAGTACGTGCACCACCACCACCACCACCACCATCACCACCACCACCACCGCGAGAACGATGTTTCGCGTACTGAGTTCCTCTCCCCATGGGTACATGTAGATATGTGACCGACAACCACAACTTATGCAATGGCAAGTCCTCCTTTTCCCATTCTCATCATCATCATGAACAGCAGCATCTCGCTGACATGATCCCAGCATACATGATCTTCGATGCCCTCGAGCGCTATGGCAGCAAAGCAGATCGCGTGCTGCTCTACCCACAGCAGTGGGACACCATAGACGATTCGGCACAAGACCGCAACAGCCAACTCCTCATTCGGGCACAAAAAGTCTACAAAGTCAAGTTGAAGCCCGTCGCAGTCCTCGATGTCGATGGCGAAGCAGCCCCTGGCACGTTGAATGCACCATCGAGTTGGGACTCGTCCATCACCAAACTCCGCGCCTTTGACCTCTTCGAGTACGACCGCGTCCTGCACATTGACAGCGACAGCACTCTGCAGCAGCACATGGACGAATTATTCCTGCTTCCCAGCACGCCCATTGCCATGCCTCGCGCGTACTGGTCCGAAGGCAGACCGAACGAGTGGCCATTGACGAGCCTAATGATGCTCATCGAGCCCAACCCCTTTGAATTCAAAAACTTCATCGACATTCTCATGTCATGGAAAATGAAGCCCGGTTTCCAAACCGGCAGAAACTACGACATGGATTTACTCAACCACCGCTTCGGAGCCAGCGCCATGGTCTTACCGCATCGTCCCTACGCCATGCTGTCCGCCGAATTCCGCAACCACGATCACGCCGCCTACCTCGGCACCATCAACGGTCCCCGAGACTTGTACCCTTCCAAATATGGCTGGGATGCCGATCGCGCGCTCAAGGAAGCCAAGCTCGTCCATTTCAGCGACTGGCCATTACCCAAACCATGGATCATGTGGCCGCACGAAGGCGTGGGCGAAATGCAACCGGATTGCGGCGGGAAGAAGGAAGGTTCGTGTCGAGAGCGTGAGATTTGGAAGGATCTGTACAATGACTTTCGCAAACGTCGCAAGGACTTGTGTCGAATTTTGAGCGTGCCTGCTCCGAAATGGGCAGACTTGAAGAATGCGACACGACCGAAATCGTGGGCCGAGATGGCGCTGGGTACGTCGTCGCCTGACGTATAAATAACAAGGAAGAGTGATGAGTACAGCAGGAGGAGACTCTGCATGTGAAAATACATCCATCATACAGCTGTGCAATGAATAAACATTTGTATCGTGCTAGTGAGCTACATGTACTGAAGCTAGCCTATGCCTAAGGTACGCTCATTCCATGTTTCCATGATGATGATGTTGTTGACGATGATGTTGATAAATCCCCAAAACGCCACTCGCTATGCATGCATATATATACCTATGAAAGTGCAGTAAGCAGTAGTAGTAGTGTTAGTAGTTAGCAGTAGAGTGGCGGACGCAACAAAAACAAGAGGGAGGGTATATCCAATCCAATCTGATGCATCATGCAATCCAATCCAAATCACATCACACAGCTCCTCCTCCTCCTCCTCCTTCTCTCCATCTCATCTGCTTTCAAACCTCCTCCGCCTCCACCTTCTCCTCCCACTCTTCCCCACTGGCCCCATCAAAGAAATGATTCACCATCGGAGCATACGTGGCATTTCCAAACGCGCCACCCCCAAAATCCAAATACGCGCGCGCATCATGCAGAGGAACTCGTAGAATCTCGTCCAAATCACCCATGATCCACGCCGTTTGCATGCCCATAATCATATGTTGGAGGATATGACAGTGAATCATCCACACGCCAGCATCCGTGACGCGGAGTCGCCAAGCGCGCCAGCCGACGCGTTGGCCTGCCACGGTTTTTTCCGTCCAGCGATAGAGATTGGTGGTGTCACGCAAGACGGGCTTGTAGTTTGCGAGTTTCTTTTCATTCTCCACGGGGTCGTAGGTGCCGTTGCCGCTGCCAATGTCGTAGTAGTGTGCTCCGTGTGCGTGGAAGGGGTGGAAGTCTTGGCCTCCGTTGTCTTTGACGAGGGAGCCCGTATTGTACCAGATGATTTCGATGACCTGGAATTGGGATCAGTATATATGCATGCATGCAGTGACAGAATCAAAGTAGTGAAAAAAAAAACAGCTGTCTTACCTCTCCTAGTTTGGCTGGGAAAGTGAACGTGGTAGGATCCCAGCCACCATTGGCGATCGCCGCATCGTAATCGGGCATCGCAGCCTGTCCGCGCTGGTAAATGTCAACCAAATATGGCACGTCGCCTGGTTGGGGGTTCGTCGTCTCATTCCATTCCAGTCCGTTGACACGCCAGACAATGCTAGCGGTAGAGACTTGTCGGTTGTCCAGCTCGATGCGACGTGTGACCTCATCTGCAGTCGGGAAGTCGTTGTCATGCAGGGGCTCCAGAGCGTATTCGGCCCAATCGTACGAGTGACCCGTGAAGTTGAATGGAGCAGACTCGGGGTTTTTGGTAATCTCGGGCTGTCCACCAGAATACCGGAGGACTCCGTAGCCAATATACTTTTTCGGCCGTTCGTTGGTCTCGAGCTTGATGTAGTAGTCTCGTTTGCCATTGAGCTGCGCTTCGGTCTTGGCAGTGAAGATGGTATCAAATCGTTGACCGGACGTCAGCTGCATGTGTTCTTCGCTGTGTGGCTTGGTGTATGATCCATCTGCCTCAATAATGGTAAAGTTGTGGTGCTCGTCAATGCCCAGTTCGACCATGGAGATGGCAAGGCTGCCCACAAAGCGGAAACGGTACGTCTTTCCCGGCTCAACCTCAATGACGGGGAGTGGGCATCCCTCTTCGCCGGATCGGTGCTGTTCCTCTTGTGCAACTCCGACGCCATTAATCAAGATTGCATTCGTCTCATTGGACCACACGAAAGGTTGGGCCAGCAGCCCCTGTTCGATATGGTGGTCGGTATGATTATAATAGTCAGACAGAAAGACCAGGCGCTCTTCGTCGTACTCATAGGGTGACACGCCGCCCTCGTCCTCGATGATCAAAGGCCCCGCAGCAGATACGGCTTGGAAGCCGACATGGGAATGATAAAAGTACGTTCCGGCTTCCTTTTTGAGAGGGAATACTTCAAAGTCGAAGTAGTGGCAGGGCGGTATAGGCCACATACTTGCTTGAGGCGTGCCGTCGGAGAAGGGAGCCAGACGTTGACTGAGACCATGCCAATGTATCGTCGTGTTGACGTTCTCTTCGCACATGTCGTTGTAGACCCGGACCCATTGTCTGACGCCCGGTTTCAGTCGCAATGGTGGGCCCGGTGAGGTCCCGTTGATGAGGACGGACTCGCGCTCCTGACATGCGATGGTGATGTTGGCAGTCGTCACGCGCAAGATATGATCGGGTTGGAACTCGCAGCCGTGCTCCTGAGGGCCACCGTAATGCCCGGGTGGTCCATTGGGTCCTCCTCGATTGCCCCAGGCTGCTACCTCGTCGACTGTAGCCAGCAAGGTGGCGGCCACAACGGCGATCAGTCCCCTCATGTTTGGTCGTTCGTAGTGAAGATGAGAAACAGCAACAACAGAAGCAGAAGCAACAGAAGAGTAGTAGCAGTGGCGTAGACTCACGAGGTGATCTTAGCTGCGTGTGCTTACCTGGATTGGTTCTCAGGGATCCATGTCGATCTCTGAGTCTAAACAAATATGGGAGCGATAGAGTTGCGGCTGTTGGCTCCTCGTGAGACAAGAGTGGTCCAATAATGCCCATGTGCAGTCCCCGAGGCCGGCAATTGCAGCGACCTAATATAACTCAATCCTGGATAAGGCAGCGAGTATGGCGAGTGTGCAGCCATCGAAGGCTCTACAGAGTTCGTCAGTGTGTTTGACAGTTTTGAGTACGTGGCTATGGCCGCCCACGCCGCCATGGGAATCTGCCGCCGCCGCTGACGCCTGCGCACGAGTCACGACGACTATTTTCCTGCTTGTGTGCTGGATGTCCAGGCCACATGGCACTCGCGGGCTCCAGCGTCAAGGCTCATCCATGCACCGCCATGGCTCCAGCGGCTCGTTGGTCAGACCTCAGCCATGCTTGGCGGGCCGCCTCAAGTACGGCATCGCCGCGTCTGTGTTCTACTGTATAGTACCTCCTAGGCCCTAGGGGTGATAGTCAGTCAGCCCAGAACGAGCGAAGAAGTGCCCGGCAGCTAGCAGTGGCCCGTATCGTCGGCGGTAGTGTTTTAGCGTCGAACTGGAAGAGAGAGAGCCACTGGGGCTGGTAGGAGGTAACGGGTAGAGTGTCGGTTCGGTAGTCATGGTCTAGGGCCAGGGCGACGGGTTCTGGAGGCGGTCGGTCGGTCGATGCGGTGCAGAAGGTGTTTGGGTGTACTAGGAGCCTAGGAGGTGGTAGTGGAGTGGAAGGAGTCCGTTACGTGTCCCGTCGTATGTTGGACAAACAGAAACAGATTAGCGGCTCTGTGAAACGCGGGCGGCGGCGGGGACGGGCAAGGGTCTCGACCCGAATTCTCCGTCGCCGTCAGAGCCCGCAGATTTCCGCGCCCTCACACTCTTGACTCCTTGGCTCCTTGACTCCTTTCTCCTTCTGGACCTCATTCACTCCCCTAGTCTCCCAATTTCCCAATCTCAAAGTCTGCAAGTCTTCTCCTGGTCTTTTCCCAGTTTCCCACTACTGTCGGCAGTCGTAATTCTTCACAAACACGAAGATGGCCGATGTATGTCGTATGGCCGGGCTCCACTGCGTTCGTGTCCCAACCCGGCTGCCATATGCCCGTGACTTGCATGCCGCGCGATCGGCGAATTGGACTTGTTGTTGTTTGTTATTGTTGTTCCCAAATCATCGTTGTGGGATATCATCTGCCGGTCGGTGAGCGCCTTCACTACTGTAGTTAGTATGAGGTGTGCAGATTCTCAGCCAGTGGCGGATGAGGTTAGTTGGTTGAGTGAGTTCATGTTGAATGAATCGAGAGTGAGTAGAGAGTGAGCACGAGACTGAGAGAGCGAGCTCCTGCTAACCCAGACCCATACATGTACTTTAATCTTCCTTCTTATACTTGTCAACTTCCGTCTGATGAGCACGTTTACGCACTTTTTTTTTCTTTGCATAAATTTTACATTAGCCGGGCAGTCAGACCACACATGTCGTCTCAGGACTTGCAATCATCACGACCTCTTAGCGGATCCCTCTCGTAAGGTACATGTAAAAGGTACATGTATAAGGTCCATGTAGAACTACAGCACCTTATTCATTCTTAGCTCAGGTACTGCCATGCCATGCCAAGCATACTCATCTACCTTACCTACATGTACCTAATGTACCTATCCACCTCCGCCTCCTCTTCCGCTTCAATAGATACGCCCCGGAGAATTCCCTCGCCTGCATACATGCATACCTACCTTAAGACACATACCTTAGTTCAGCCCCACCCCCATCAATCGATACTCCATCAGGCACTTATCACTCCACACAATAGCACACATCTGAAAGAGCCGGATCCCATTCTCCCCCTCTTCCCCTTCCCTCTTCCCCGCCCCCGAAAAAAGCTCCTAGTTCCTCCCCACCCTTACTCTCTCAACTGCCCCTCTGAATCCGATGATGAATTTCCATAAGGCGATTCTTTCCAGTCATCGTGACAATGTGGACAAAAAGGATATATTGCTTCGTACTCGTACTCGTGGTGAACAAAATCGAACGGGCCTGCTGAAGGAGAGGGAGTAGCGGTAGTAGTAGTAGTAGAGGAGGAGGTGGTGGTGGTGATAGTGGTGTTGTTGCTGCTACGACCTCTCTTCTCAGTACCTGTAGTTGTAGTGCTTGCGTTATCAACAGCAGCAGCAGCAGCAGGTTGGTTTTGAATGCATGTGGATGAAGAGTCTGCCATTATAGGGTTATTATCGATATTTGCTGAGTAGGTACCTTATCCAGTAGGTGGCTTAGGTAGATCCTTTGTAGTCCTAGACAGGTTTGCTACTGTAGTGGTACATGTACCATTCACGAGCAAACACTATCACTATCACTTTCACTAGAAGTGGAAGTAGAACTAGGTAGGTACAGGTACATGTACCTGTCGAGACTGCCCTCTTAGTAGGGTAAGAAGGTACCTGGTAGCGGCAAAAGCACAAACTCCAACTCTTTTGGTGGGTCGCCGATTCCCCATCTGCTCCTTCCTCTCGTCAAATGCACTGAGATTGATTGATGAGCCTTCAAGTTGCGCCCAGCTCCGAACGCATGTGATTCTCCATGCTCGTCAGCCGCTCTCATGTACAATGGTGTGCACTGCTGAACCTCATTTCAATTTACATCAAGGATAGTATAGTACATGTACTTCTCCACCTGCCAATGATAGTAGTTGTTCATCTGCCAATGTACATGTATTCATCACCATCTAGTAATCATCATCGATGCTGTCCTTCATCGCTTCAATCTCCAAATACTCCTCATACTGCTCCCGTGTTCCACCAGTGTCCATGCCTGTCTCCGGATCAATATAGTTTCCGGACTCCTGAGGGGTTGCCTTGGGCGACTCAGATCCGGATGTAATTGCAGTCCTGACCTCAATTGGTTCCATGCCTGTGACATGAGGGATCTTGTACATCCTGTCGTTCTTCTAGACCACCATTTCCCCCACGGCATCAACTTCGGACTTCAATCCCTCCCTGTTCAGACATTCATCAAGCTCTTCTCTGCCCTCGAACACCGTCCCAGCCGCAAATATCTTCGTAGTAGAACTGGAAGCGCCAGGTGACGGTTTGACATTGGCATTGAGTACCTCGTTGATCGACCCGAGCCTGGAAACTTTTCTGGGCTGAGATGAGACAGACGACCTTGCTACACTGTCTTTCCGGGACTTGTCCTGATCTGTATCGTCGGCGAGAGATGGCTGTGGCTGACTGGATGCTGTAGCTCGGACTGTTTCGGTGGCTTCCGGGAGCTGAAAGCCTATCTCAGCAGCAGGGCTGCCTGATAGTGGTGAGAGAGGGTCCACATTCTCATCTCCTGCATGAGATTGAGTAGCCGCTGCCGTTGCTACAGTCTCGCGTGCCTGCAAGTCCATGCCAACGAGTGCATTCATGAGCTGAGTCTGGACACTCATCTGAACCTTTTGTTGTTCCTCGATGCGGCGGAGGGTGAAAGCTACTTGCTCAAGCTCACGCGAGCGCCGCGAGTCATCCGTCCTAGCCTGCTCCTGCAGCGTAGCAAGTTCCTCCAGCATGCGTTGCTCGCGCTGTTGCACTTCACGGAACGTTGGCACGGAAGGGCTGCATGCTTCCACAGGTCGCGCAGCGGACAGGTGTGCCTGCTGGCGCTCCCGCAATGCACTGGACGTGCTGCGTCTTATCAATGGCCGTGCAGCAGAGGGAGTGTCCTGAGTCAACTCGGCCACGATATCTTCTTCCATTCCCACAAGATTGGCAACTCCTTCCTGCAGCGGGCCTTCGAAGATAGTGGAAGGAGTCGACTCATCGGCGGTCTGGGTGTGCGTATTGGAGGCCGTCGAGCTAGATTCCTCGTTCCGATCCTCCTTCCGGGCTGGTGGGGATTTTGGAGACATCGTGCTGGCGGAAAGCTGCTTGTATAGGGGGAATAGGCGTGGTCCTGCAATGGGTGTGGATTATCTGGGAAGAGCTCACTGCTGTACGGTTTGCAGATTGTGTCGATACTTTATGGTTGAATGGCGGGCTCCAAGAGTTGCAGGTTGGAGTCTGCTTGTTGTTCTTTCGACAAAGTGCAGGTGCAGCAGTACAGTGCAGGTGCGCCTCGCCATCAAGCGTGATTTGCCATCAAGAGCGAGAACACTGTCATACGCACCTGACCATGCAGAGAGCGCGAGCAGGCAGTGTCCGCTCCGGAATCCTTTCTCGATACATCGCGATGGCAATAGGTATCTCAAGTTGTATGAATCCTCACTCATCCCATCCATAACTCCTTGACGCCGCCTCGCTTGGTCCACACGTCATACTCAATCCATTGCACCTTCTTCCTTTTCCCACCTCCCTCCACGAGCCTGCCGGGATTCATAACGTGGCAGCCTTCGTAGGTGATTGCGAATGGGGGCGCATCCGCATCTGCCACAACTAACGCGTGCGGTAGTGGGTACAGTGTCAAAGCAGAGGGCGCATAGTCCCAATGAACGGGACGCACTGTGAGCGGAAACGGTGAAACCGTAGATTGAGGAAGCAGCGAGAGGATGAGCCGCTTCGCCTCTTGGATGTTGTAAGACTCCGATGGAACCGTCTCAGCGAGAGCAGCTGGTGGCGAATCAGCGTCGAAGGCCATGCGTGTATCCTCAAGTTCGTCCGATTCCGTTGTAGGCAATGCCCCTGACATTGTCATGTCCTCGTCGGAGTCAGGCAGCACAATAGCACTGTCCGTCTGCGACTCTGCTTGTTTCGTAGCTTGACCGTAACGGATGGCATTTCTCCGAAAGCGACCAGATATGTCGTCTCTAAGAATTACGAGTTCGTGAGCAGGCCCAAAGAAGCTTAGCCTTGTAGGATTGCTCGTCCAGATTGCTTCACCATCTGCTTCACCCTTCTTTGCCCCCACCTCAGCTTTCGCGTTCGCGAATGCACGCTTAATTCTGTTTGTAAAGAGGTCCGGAACGCCTTCGCGAGGCAGTAGTGTGCTTGCGCCAGCACTAAATGAGGATGCCCAGGGATCATTGTCACCGGGCATGAATACCCACGTGCAGCTTCGGAGCAAGGCCGGGAAGTCCGACAGGACAGCTGCAAGTTCATTGAAGAGCTCTTTGTATTCGATCGAACCAGTGCCGGCACCAGCCATGGCGGCTTTGCTGGAGAAGTCGCCCGCCAGGACAAAGCCCATAGGGAGCTGTTCTGCTGCCTCGTACTGTTCGAGCAGTTTGCGGAGCGCGGTGAGAGTGGAAGGTTGGTCGAGCGTCACTCCTGACAGAATTACCATCTTCCGAGCATCGTCGTCGATGTCGGACTCTGGGCCTACCAGTCGTGACTCCAGCTTCTTCATCCTCGTTCCCACCGCCCGCTCTGATCCAAGTCCCAGAAAGTCAGCCCATCCAAATCCACCTCCTAGATCTTCTGCCTTCAGATTGATTCCTAAGGAGATATCACGTCTCTCGACAGGGGGACTGCCTATCTCAAATCCGACAAACCTCCCACCAATGGTTCCTCCCACACCACCAGTATTGCCCAGCCCACTTGATCCAGCACCAGCCCAATCTTCTTCATACACTCCGTCCACTAGCACAATCATGCCAGGACAGAAGTATGGCTGGCCGTCCTGCATGCTCGTTGCATGCTGCAAGTCCAGACTGATGCTCCCACTCATGTCATTCAGTGCCAGTGTACCTGTTGGTGCAATGGCCAGCATGCCGAGAAGCAAATGTGAGCTTCCTCCTCTACCGAGCAGATTCGCGATTGGTGTGATTTTGTAGAACGTCCTCTCCGTGACGGTCCCATGCCTTTTGAGCGTAGGGACACCGGCAGATATAGAAGGTGCTTGGAATGCTGGATTTCTGAGCAGTCTCTGATGTATGATGTTATACCGCTCCTTGAACACGGCCGTCTTCTGCCTCGGATTTGGAAACAGAGTGGGTTTTATCTCAACTCTCAGAAAGTGCTTCTTGTCCATATCGAAAGTGAATCGCGGCTGTTCGAATGCACTGATGACTTTCAGCCACTTCCTAGGCTCACTACTCCCATGATCTTCTTCTTCCGGTCCCGACGCAGGACTCTGCACACGCAGTCCACTGATGCCGTATGAACTTCCCTGTCGTTCCAGTTCGGGTCTATCTCCCAGAATATCCACAGCAGAATCATTACCAAAGGCGAAGCTGTTCTGTCTGCTCGGATTGAGACTGTTCCCACTCCTGGGCGTGCCAACGCGACCACTGCTCATAGATCCCTCCAAAGTCCTCAAGATTGTCTTCAGCTTCTCGCCGTCCTCCACAATGACTGGTCCATTTTCCGCTTTCCACAATTTTGCGGCCTCCTCGAGCAGCTTCTCGCCAGTCCCCTCTTCCCGCCATGCTGAACCACAGTGCTTGCCGATGAAGCTGGCGAAAGCTTGGAGTGCGGAGGAGTTAAGGGTCAGGCTGTACTTCTTGGTGAATGTGCGGAATGCCACAGGACGAAGAGTCGCAGGCGGAAGGAGGATGGGTAGGATGGTTGCGATCTGAGGTTTGAAAGCTGGCGGGGCTGGCGGAGGCCGTTTGCCCGCGGTGGGCGGAAATGGGTGGACGGGTGTGCCAAATGCAGGCGACGACGAGAAGGGATTCTGCGCAGAGGTCGTCGGTCTCGCCATGTTCATGTCCTATGCATATACATGGAGCTGTGTCAAATAGGTATGGATTGATAGAGACGCGCGCGCTTTGACGCGATGAGATCTGACGCGTCAGAGATGGCACGTGCGTTTACGGAGGCCCAAAGTGGCCAGCCGCCACACGTCACCCCCGGCTTTCTTTGGCTTTATTTTCCTACTACTTCCACCCTTCTACCTACTATACACTACTATATACACTCGCTACACGCTCGCCGCCTACCTCGCCGTTACCGCCGTATCCGTCGCTACCTACCAATATGCCTCGGACGTACGTACCTAGAGGACTACGCGCTATAGACTATAATAACTATTAGGTCTATATCGCTACGTAGCTCGAAGAAGGTGTCTCGTAGAGGCAGATTATCGCTAATCTATACTAGTAGTTCGGTATTTCTATCGTAGAGCGTATATTCGAACAACGGCTATAAGCCTAGAGCCTTACTATAGCCGCCGTACCTTTATATCGTTAATAGTACGATATCTTCGACGAAGACGATAGCTTATGTATATATATAGTATATACCTATACTAAGCTACGACTTACAGACAGCGAGGCAGTTGCGATTCTAGCGATTAATAGCTAGAAAATCAGTATAAGGATATATCGGCGTATATATAAAGAGCTAGGTTTTAGGAAGTAGATACTAGTAGTAGAGCAAGTATATATTAAAGAGTTAATCGCTATAGTACTCGCAGACGAGCTTGCTAAGTTAGAGGTAGAGGTATATAGTAGAAGGAACCTATATATATATCTATATTTAGAGATAAATATAATTAGGAGATATATAGGCGCTCGCTGTCTACTCGCTTGCTAAATCGCTATCGGCTAACCTACTTAGGGACTATATCTACCGTATTGTCAAATTGCTTAATCCCGATAGTATTTAGCGGCGATACGAGAAGGCTAGAGAGTACTATAGTACTATTATTATACCTAGGCCGTTAGTAGCAATCTCGATAGATACGTACTATAAGTTCGAGTACTAGAGTATTTAGATATATAGCGTAATCGACGTATACGCGCGGTATATAGAGTAGATTTACGTTAGAATTACTAGTAGATCGGCCGTTTCGGTACTCGCTTAGTATATCGCGACCCTACGCTATAGTAGATACGCGCCGGTAATTATATACTCGGATCGTAGAGGTAAGACTATTCTAGCCGCCGACGCGTACTATATAGTACGTTATACCGCTTACGACGTCGAGAATACTAAGCGTAGTACTCGCGGCGAGGCCTCGTTACTACTACTACGATTCGGTAAATACTTCCGATATAGTATAAGTAAGATAAATCAGCGTATCGAGGTATAGTAGAATTAGTAGGCTAAGGCGCTAAATAGATAGCGCGCGTACTTCTATAGCTTAAATACTACGAACGAATTTGACCTAGAGTTATTAGGCGATCGTATTGCCTTTCTAGCGATCTATACTACGATTCTCTATAAGACAGTAGTAGGATTCGTAAAGGTATAGAATTACTATAAGATTCGGAGGTAAAACAATCGGCTATACTCGATTCTAGGTATTCCTTACGTATTACGGTATTATCTAGAGCTCTATAGCGCTACGTAGTAAGGTATACGTATACCTAAGGAGGTTCTATAGACGCTCGAAGGGATACTAGAAGGGTTTAGTATATATACTCGCTCTACTCGTAGCCTGCTCGCTAACTTAATACTATAGACCTCGAGGCCTTTCTTCCCGCCGATATCTACGAATAGTACAAAGCGAGCCTCCTCCCTTATAGCTTCGCGCTACCTATTAGTAGTACGTCGTACAACGTAGCGACCGGCGACCGTACGTACCGTACGGCCTATATTACCCTACGTAGCCTAGTAAATAACTATATTAGCTTAGAACAATAGCTAATACTCGGTATACTTCTAAAGCTATTAGTAGTAAGAGATTAGATACCTACGCGCTAGACGGCGGAAGCATTTAGAGACACTAGTAACGCGCTAATCGCGAACGAGGATTCAGGTATTATCGAGTTCTATAATAATCCGTAGGCTGTAGGGCTAGTATCTCCCCTACGAGTATAACTACGAGCTAAGCGAGCTAAGCCCTCCGGGGTATATATTACGGTCCGTACTATTATTTGAATTCTTTTCTATATATATATATATACTCTCTCTCTCTCTACCGACCTATTTACTATAGCCGACAACCTACCTAGCCTCTAGGCTAAATACTGTCTAGTCGTACCGTCGATTAAACATAGCGTTATATTCTATAAGTTCAATTTCTGCTCTTAGTACTATTAGCTTAATCTAAACCCTCTATATACTAAATTCGTACGCGAACTATTATACGTACTAGAAAGTAGCCGTCCGGTTACTAGATAGCCGCCGCCGCCGCCGCCGCCGCCGTAGCCGTAGCCGTCGCAATCGTAGTAGCTAGTGCCCGCGTACTAAGTAAAGGTTAGTCGCCTTAAAACGATCTATATAGCGAGTACTTAGCGACGGTTAATAGGGTTTCTAGACATTTGCGAGGATTCCGCAGTATATAAATACTGTATATAACAAGGCTAATATCGCGTTTAGGGCTAAGGCCGCTATAGCTATCGTACCGTACGCCGGTACGCTACCGCCGACTATACGTTAGTAGTATACGCCGGCCCTACCGTCGTCGCGGTTGAATCTACTGCCTCCGGCTATCTCGTTTAGTATTAGCGTTATAGTATATATATAGCGAGTTACTACGCGAGCTCTAAAGAATAACGACGAGTAGAAGTACTACGATCCGGTTGCCTATACCGACCTCTATAACTATTAGACGGATCGCGATCGAGTAGCTAATAGCGCTAAGAAGCTATTAATAGAATTTATACTTACGCGATTCGAGCTAACTAAGTTACCTACGTAGCCTATTACGGCTATTAAAGACTTCTACGACGTATTCTTCGTACGATTATTCTATCTAGAGACTAATAAGCCGAACCGTATATTATCTACGAGTATCGCGAGTGCCGACGTCCTCGAGTCTATAGAGGTATTTAAAATACCGCTACCTAGCAGATCTACTATATATACCTATAAAGCTATTATCGTCGTTTAGTAGTACAAACAACTAAGGCAAAAGCGTAAGGATAGGGAGGGCACTGCAGTATTACGCGCGATACTATTACGCGCGATACTATTACGCGCGACACTAGTAGCGAGCGTAGCGAGTAGCCGTATAACGCCTATAGTATTAGAAGTCCTCGAGAGTATCGAACAGCTCTACGCCGATAAGTATAACGACGATAACGACGAGGACGACGACGAGCTTAGCGAGGCCGACGACGACGACAGCGTACTAATTATTAAGAAAGAGAAGGCATTATAGACAGAGAGCGTACTGCGTAACTAACGCCCGCAAGCTACCTAAGTTTGTCGAAATCGATAGTAATACCGATATAGACAACGCTTATATTAAGAAAGAGAAGGTATTATAGATAGAGAGCGTAACTAACGCCCGCAAGCTACCTAAGTTCGTCGACTTAGAAGCGACGCTAGTAGCGAGCGCGACGAGTAGTACTGCCGGTACGGCGATACTAGTAGCGAGCGCGACGAGTAGTACTGCCGCTACGCCTACGGCTAAGCGATATAAGCTAGCGGTTCTAATCGGAGAGAGGGCAATAACTAGAGCGCTAAGCAAGAAATAAATGAATCGCCGCACTCGCTATTAGTATCGATAGATATAAGCCCGTAGGGCCCCTAGGGCCTAACGCTACGGCGGTTACTATTGCTACCGCCGGCGCCGCCCGGTATTACTTATATAGAGCGTAGATACGAGTAGAAAAGACTAATTTTTATAGCTATCTACTACTATCGACTTATATCTACGACGGTATGCCTATATTATAGAGTTTGTATAGGGTCGGCGGACGATCTAATTAGTCGGATATACCTAGCGCTAGCTTATATTCGCTAACTCGCTATAGAAACGCTATAGATCGCGCGTAGCCTATCTAACTCGCTATACTCGCTATAGTATATCGCTGCTATATATATAAATAGGTAGGTATATATATACCTATCTACTAATTATTCGTATATAGAATCGTAGTCGATTCCGGTATTAATACTCTACCCTACAGCTATACCGCTATAGCTATATTGTAGACTATACGCCGGAGCTCGTCGACGTATAGTATAAGCTACTCTACCTAATCCTCTAATTTGCCTATCCTATCTTAAACGGTCCCTACCGTAGCCTATAGGCTATCGACCGTAGCCTATAGCGCTTTAATAGTAGCCTCTAGCTAGGCGATTCGCTACGAATCGCTAGAGGAATCGTTAACGGGTATCCCGGCCTAATAGCCTAACTTAGTATATCGCTTGTAGTAGGCGCAGATAATACTATTCTTTATATCTACCTTATACGGCGCGTCGCGCGGACTATAAGTATACTAGTAATACGGATCTAGCGTATTAATACCCTCTATAGTCTCTATAATTCGGCTAGCTTAGTCGAACTTCTATAGGTTATTTTTCGCGACCTTCTTCTTTGTCGCGTCGTCGCCTACGGCCTCGTCTAACTAGTCCTACTATCTTTCGACTAAGCAGAACTAGAAGTTGCTAGAGTCTATAGTAGTAGGCTAGCGCGGGTATAGATCGGAGGTATATACGGCCCTATATATAGCGAGTTAGTAGAGATTCTAGTAGAGATTTAGTAGCGAGTAAGGCTAGCCTACCTAGTATCGTCCTCCTTATCCTCCTCCTTATCCTCCGAGGTATCCTCGGTATCGGTATCCTCGTCTATAGCGTCGCTGTTATTTATCGTAGATATGTTTCTACCGAGCGCTGCTAAAGCAGTAGATACAAGGAATCTATAGTATATTAGTAACGTACGAGTTTACGCGCTATATAACAACGTACTAAGGTTCGAATAATATAGTTATCTACGTCTACGGTAGTAGAGGAGAGAGAGTAGACGTATTATAGTAGTAGATTCTTTCTTCGAGTTACTATAGCGACAGCTTTATTATATAGGTAACTTATTATTAAGACGACGGATCCGGCGACAAAGAGAGAGGTAAGGTAGCGACGGATACGGCGGTAACGGCGAGGTAGGCAGCGAGCGTATAGCGAGTGTATATAGTGGTGTATAGTAGGTAGAAGGGTAGAAGTAGTAGGAAGATAAAGCCAAAGAAAGCCGGGGGTAACGTGTGGCGGCTGGCCACTTTGGGCTTCCGTCTGCGTTCTCGCGTAGCCCCAGCGCAGTCGCGTTCACTTGACGCAACTTTCTGCCTCAGCTTCTGTATCTACCTTACCTTACCTTACCTAATTACTGCCAGCGAATATCGATCAGGCCCAGTCTACTTTGTCGATAATTGTGTCGATAGTAAGCAGGTCGATAGTTTCCGGTCACTATCGCTCACTCTATTGACACCTGTCTACTTAGCTATCGACCAAAAATGGACGATAGTTACCTGTCGATAGTAAAAAGCTCGTATACCCTCGTAAACCGTCGCCGTCGCTGCCTACGCACCATATCCGGTTAGTAAACGCTCGGACATAGTCTACTATCTCAAATGGTCCTCCCAGAGGCACATTTTGCGCTCCGTGCACATTCAATTAGGTTCCGGGGCGGCGGCACTGTCTATATACGCGTCGTAGTCGTGTATACTATATATGTCGACACCGGTTAACTATATAGTAGTACTATACTAGCGACCAACAACCTCCTCTTTTTTGGCTATAGATACCACGAATATCGCTGTATTATTCGGCGTTGTCGCTGCCGCCGTGCTCGTCGCTATTACACCAATCGTCACAACCCCTATCGCAGAGCGCTGGTATCGGCTACCTGGCGTAATTACGACTCAAATCGAGCCTGGGAGAGGCAGGAAAGAGACGTACAAGTGCTTATATGGTCCAGAGCGATACTGTCACTATGTAACGCGTCTAAAACAGCCGGTGTTAATATCGTTAATCGAGGAATTGACCGAGCGTGGTGGCCTCGACGACTATGGAAAAGCGAGGGTTTCGGTTGCTAAGCAAGTGGTTATATTCTGCGATTTCGTCGCACATAACCGTAGTATCTCGGACCTAGAGCGGCAGTATGTCTATGCACGGAGGACGTTCGAGAGGATTATCGATAAAGTCAGTGTTGCACTGTATCGAATGGCCGAGGATTACGTCCAACTACCAGATGATACTGCTATCTACTCAATTCTCAGAACCCCCAAATTCAGCTATTTCAAAGGAGCCCTAGGTACGCTGGATAGTACATACATAAATGCCGTTATTCCGGAAGAGAGGCAGTCTGCGTAGCGTTGCCGGAAGGGTTTTATCGCGCAGAACGTACTGGCAGTATACGATTTCAGCTGTAACTTCCTCTATGCGCTCGTTGGTTACGAAGGATCTGCGAACGATAGGACGGTCGTTAATAGAGCGTTTAGGGTTGGAGGTCTACGTATACCAGAGGGCCGCTATTATCTCGCAGATAGTAGTTATTCGCCGAAGGACAATCGACTCTTAGTACCATATCAGCGTACAAGATACCACCTATGTGAGCAGATCGCGTCGAATGCCAAACCAGAGACAAAAGAAGAGCTTTTCAACCTCCGCCACGCGCAGCTGAGAAACTGCGTTGAGCGTATATTTGGTATTGTAAAGAAGCGCTTTGAGTACGTCCGTGTTGGTCCGTACCCAGGGCGCTCTATACTCGACCAAAAGCGTATTCTTATGGCGTGTTTTGTCCTCCATAACTACATTCTTGCGCACGGCGAACAACCACTCTCTACAGAGCCGCAGTTGCTACAATCGGACGGCTATATCGGCAACGACGATGTCTCTGGTATAGAGTATAAAGCACCGGGTTTCGAGGAGGACGAAGGAATGTTAAAGTTCCGAGATGAGATAGCGGAGGATATGTAGCAAGACTACCTCGAGCTGCTCGAGCACCGTAGCCAGGACCGTACTAGTATTAAGCAGGAGTGGTAGACCTTACACAGCTTATAATACTTGATAGTATACCAATCACGACGCTAACAACGATACCAATACCGAATGACCGTCCGAATAACCATCCGAATAACCGTCCAAATAACTGTCTGAATTACTATAAGAACAAACGTATCATCTCAACGTCTTCATTATCAACGACCATCTCAACGACCATCTCAATGTCTTCGTCGTCAAAGACCATCTCAACATCTTCTTCGATAGCGTTGCTATTGTTATAGCCGTCGTTATTGTCGTTGACGCTGTCAACGACGTCGTCCTCGCTATTGTCGTCGTCGTCGTCGCCATCGCTATCGCCATCGTTGTCGTCGTCGTCGTCGTCGTCGTTGTCGTCGTTATCT